ACAAGAGTGGGGGTTCGCTACGTCACAGTTTTGTAGAAAATGTATAAAGAGTCATTTAATGATTACGAAAAAAATGAGTATTTAATATTGTTTAACAATTACCTGACAAACAAAAAAAAATTGTCGCCATCCCTATTATCATCAATTTACCCATTTTCAATCGCTCAACTGATTGGAAGAAATACAAACAAGTCTTGAAGATCACAAGACTTAAATAATGCTTTATTCTGAAAGGAAATATTTTTAAAGGAAATGACAAACAAATAAGATTTCAACAGTTCAGTAGACACATATTTATGACCGTTGTTAATTGACAATTTGTGTAACAGACAGAAAAAAAAATAGCCGAAATGTGATAGCCATACTTTACACCGATTCTAACGAACGACAGAATAGACAATATCCAATAAATCAAACATGAAACATCGCTTTCAAAAATACAAGCCGTAGTATTATTTCGCTATTGACCTATTTCTTCATGTTTTTTTCAATCGTAATATCAAAATAATTAACGTTTTTTTTTCAAAACGTTAATTAAAATGTATCTAATCATCTCATATGCACACATTCGAACAATGGTACCTACTTATTTTAAATAGAAACAACAGTAAGAAATATATGTGTGCTGAAACTACACTAACAAAAATAAATAATCACGTTCTTGCTTTAAAACACTCTACGGCATGTTTGCGTTCTGTTATCGTTCCAACCTTCAACTAATAAACCTACAATACGATTCACCGTTTAAAAAAACATCGTTACTACAAATGATAATAATTCACACAAGAACAACAAAACACATTAATTTATTAAGAAAAAAATAAACAAATGACAACTCACCTTATCTAAGATTCCGAATTCAAATTGTTTAATACATTACAACACTACACAAGACACTAAAGGAACGTGCGTTCGCTTAACGTCATCGTTTGAAATTCAAATATGGAACGATTAATTTTTTTTTCTAAATATTCACAATGCAGGTCGTATATTTAAACATCCTTATTAGAGCAAACATCACTATCACAACAATACTTGCGGAAAAATTTGTTCGCATTACACGGAAGAACGCAACTTCATCGCTCAACGAGCGCACTGATACTGCCGCCAGTTACGGTTTTCAGTAAATCTATAAAGAGAAAGTACACAATACCGCTGTCCCTTTTTCTGTAACGGGAGATTGGCAAACCTTCTCTTTCTAGTTATCCTGGTATAAATCGGCAGGCGTGCTCGAATCATGCCCTCATTAAGAATAAAAAAGGGACTCTTTTCTTTAAACAAATTTACTTTTTTTGAAGCAAAAAGAGATGAAGATTGCCAATTATTAGCAGCCAGTCATCGAATTAAAGGAAAACTCTGGAACAAATTAAATCTTATCGCCGCCTAGTGAGAGACCGTTTCCAACAAATAAGTAATTGCATTTGCCTTCCAAAAACGATATCATTAAAATATCTAGAATTAGCTTGAAACTGAAAAATTATTAACTACAAATATTATGAATAAATTCAAGAGACTATTTAAAAGTTTTTAGAATAAAAATAACTGAATTTAAGAGGGCTAACTTGGGAGTATATGCCTTTTTAAAATTTAAGGAGACAGTACATCCAATACCACACCATAATTATTAGCAGTCAGTCATCGAATAAAAGGAAAACTCTGGAACAAATTAAATCTTATCGTCGCCTAGTGAGAGACCATTTCCAACAAATAAGTAATTGGATTTGCATTCCAAAAACGATATCATTAAAATATCTAGAATTAGCTTGAAACTGAAAAAATATTAACTACAAATATTGTGAATAAATTCAAGAGACTATTTAAAAGTTTTTAGAATAAAAATAACTGAATTTAAGAGGGCTAACTTGGGAATATATGCCTTTTTAAAATATAATAATAATAATAGACAGTACATCCAATACCACACCATTCGATTCTAAACTAATGACCAAGGACTACCTTCCAATCTAATTAATTTACCTCGAGTAGTAATAGATTCTCCCCCTTATTTCAGTTTGGTTAAAATGAGTTCCAAATATGTAATTCTTAGATAAATTATACTAGTTGACAGATGGCACAGTGTTCAATGACATGCAGAGTGCAGACGATTTCTATTCCTCGCTTTGATTGTACGCAAAGTACGTCAGGTAACCACATGAAGTCAGATTTCTGCAATTGATTATGAACTCTACCTTAGTATTAAATTTTAAAATCGAGTGGAAAATTTTGTGTTTTGTATAGTCTTACGTGCTGTTCATTATTCCAAATAAACTACAATTAACTGATTAACAATAGGTAAACTAGTTAATTTGTGTAAGAGTTCTGAAAGTGACATAATATCAGCGTTTTACTTATCAAAAAAACCTATATTAAATTACTTACCTTATTCGAAGCTTATAGCTATATGAGATAGCAGGCTGTGGTTCCCGCCTATGATTCTTTCTTATCTATAATATATAAAGTTATAACCTATAGCTCTTTCTCTTTCTGTGTAAGTTTAAAGTATTTAGTAATAGCCATTATCTATTCCGTAAGCTTCGAATAAGGTAAGTAATTTAATATGCGTTTTATAGGTGGGTAAAATACTGCTATTAAATATCTAGACCGTTATTCGAAGTTTATAGCTATATGAGACGTGTCTGTTTTCGCCTAGTGATAGGAAGGAGAAACGTAACGCCTATATTATATGTTGTCTTTGTACCAAACAATATTTCAACAAAAATAACGCTGAAATGAAAAGGTTAATGCTAAATCGAACGGAAAAGTCCATTAAGATGTGCAACTTTACACTCATTAATTTTAGCTTAACGAATCAAACAATATATCATACCTTTGCTTAAGTAAATATGTAATGCATAGATATGCGCTAAACTTACCCTCAATATGAAATATTGCTTTTTTTTAGGGAAATGTGGTATATGTATTGAATTTACTCGGCAGGAACTCTGATGCCAGTGAAATCTGTTCCACTTTGCATCACAGCTCGCTTCCTCCGAGGTGGAGGAAGGACGAATCACAGAAAGGGAAAGAGCTATAGGTTAGAAAATGAAATAATTTTAGACGGGATCCGCAGACTGTCATATATAAGCTATAAGCTTCGAATAACGGTCAAGTTATTTATCATATGAATATTTATAAATATTTATAATGAATTTATAATAAATAAGTACATGATTATGCTTGGATAATTTCAATTTTAAGCGGATATTTAAATATTAATTTAATTTGTTATTTTATGTATTATTTTATTTGTTATTTAGATTATATTGGATAATTTCTTAATCATAGTAGAACACATATTTAGAAAAATTGCACTTGGGATATTCTTATCTTCTGTTTTTTACACAGCGACGATTTACTTAATTTTGTCTTTTAAGTAACAACTCACGCGCAACTTTTAGCCTCCGTCTGAAAATTAGCGTCATGACGATAAGATTTCTGTCGTCGTGATATGACACAGCTGTGCCACAGTGGTGAATAAGTCTGAGACGGAGTGGAGACCACTGTGGCACAGCTTATTAGCCTATAATAGTTTCTTTTTTTAATAATGTCATTACCACTTTTGTATTATACTGTGCAACAACGTGGGAAATAAACTTAGTTGTTATTATTATTATTATTATCATGAATATATACAATTTCTCTCTCGAAAGAAATTTTTTCTTGAAATTATACTCTTTTATCATAGGTAAAATATGAAATCGATAAATATAGGTATGAGACACTTTGTAACCGAAGACTATACCATATAGTCTTTGGTTACAAAGTGTCTCTAACAATAATCAAAGCTGTTGGCCGCGGGCTCCCGACGGGGTTTGTCCGCCACTGAATAGCAGTTAATGAGTTAATAATTAAAAAAGCTTTTGATTCGCTATTCGTCATTCTGTAATTGAGACCAACAAGTTTCGTACCTATGCGCCCGCCCAGCCTTAACACCGTAGTGTCGCAGAATGGGTAAGTCGTAACTTAACCATTCTGCGACTGAGATAGACATTTATGACAACTTTCGATACGCAAAAGCTAATAAAACATCTTCACTCAAATTGCAATTACCCCTATATTTCAATAATTTTGCGAAGGCCAGCGACGGTTCAATGAAACTTGGCGCCCTAGGCAAAACTCTGGAACTCTTAGGGCTCTAAGCAAAACACCGGAACGACGCCCACGAAAAATGACAACAAAATAAAAGACTAATGTACTATATGTAAATAGCTAGATACACCGATTAAAGCACAGAATAAGTCTAGGTTTGCCAAAGCAAAAGAAAATTTTCTACTTTGATACCGAGAACATGGACTCGGATGGAGTTTAAGGTTCAAATAATTAGAGCAAAAATAATCGCTAAAATAAAATGTTTGCCATGCCATGCCGTCCTGTTGCCTAGTTGAACGGGCCAGCTGGTGACGGCGACTAGAATAGTAATGCTTTCAAATTGGTAGTCAAGGTTTTGAATTATTTTATAATAATAAGATCCCAAAAGTTTAATTGTGAGGCCTAGATAGGAGCGGTTACGGGCCGGCATTTTCTTATGAACCATTTACACGAAGCCAGTAGCTGAGACAGTCCAGAAAGCCAGACTAGTATGGGCTGCGTGTAAATGGAGATAATCAGTCAGTAATCAGGCCAGTCCAATAACACACAACGGTTTTTAATTTTACTGGATTGACTCGGCTACTGGCTCCGAGTAAATAGTCCCTTACAGACGTATCCCAACTAGGTTTTGGTTACCGTAATTTATTACATTAATTTTCGGCAATCGAAGTCAAAAGTAGAAAGTAACAGACGGAACTAAAACCCATTACAACTTTGTCTCTATTCACTCCTCCGCTAAAGCTCGAAAGTAACTCGTATACAGTGGGTCGTTTTAGCCCCTTGTAAAAAAATCAAAGGTTGATTTCATAATTACTCAAAAATAGAATTTGACATGTAAATTAGCATAATACCTCATCATTTTTTTTTTTTTTTTTTTAGGCAGTCTGAATTAAACATAGCACAGTATTCTTATATCGTAAATTTTAGTTGCTTTATTTCAACTTTTTTCATTCAAATCTTAACACTAAGTCTAAATCTTTTGATATATCCTAAAGTAGTAACTGATATCTCCCTCCCACTGTAGATCATCTGGTATTCCATCCTCTTTCACCATTTTAAACTGCTCTTTATCCAGTGAAGGGAAGAAGGTGTCACATTCGAAATCTTTCTGTATCTCTGTCAGATATATTTTTCCGCAGTTAGGATGACTTAAAGCAGCCTAAAACGAGAATGTACATCATAATTTAAATATACTCATCAATTGATTTTAATTTAAAATCACTACAAATTATACAATTGCGTGCGGACTACGGACATGTCCGTCAAAAGGACCCCGGTAGACCGCCTGTACTCAGCTTCGAGTACACTTGATCTTTATTGCAAACAATAAACATTTAAATAAACACATATTACAAGTAACATAGATGCAAAAGGCGGTCTTTTTGCTAAGAAAACATAAAACTATTTGGGGAAGATGAATTAAGCTTGATGAAACGTTCCTCGACATGTATAACAAAGAACTCCCGTGATGGTGCATGTCTCGTAATTACCGGCAGTGAGTTCCACAGTTTAATAGTCCAGAGTGGTAAGAATAATTTTTACGCTAACGCATTCACTAGTGAGCGCATTAAGAATGTGTATGGAGATTTGTAGTTCTTGGTAGTTACCGTTAGGGGCGCTGTACCGGATTCCATAATAAAATCTTAACGTGCTCACGATCGACAGTGAACGTAAACGTCAAAAAGACTTACAAGTTTTTTAGTGTAAGTTTTTTTTCCACTCTGATATAAAACGACTTAACAATGAATCAGTTATATGGGGAAGGATCACTAAAGAAAGGTTATGGGAAGACCTCAAGGCACAGAGAGGACCAGAAGAATAAATAACAAAGCGTTCGAAGCGTGACCAGAAGATATTGCGGTGTTCGAGGATTAAAAAGAATAGAATGAATTTGTTGTGAAATAATATCCTAGTTAAGTATATTGAAAACTAACAAGAATTGAAACAAGATTGTGTATATGTCTGAAAAGATAGGATGTATCCCACTGTTTTATATTAAAATCTTTGTTACCTTAAGACCATCTATCTTCTATATCTAAATATATATAACTCAAAGGTGACTGACTGACATAGTGATCTATCAACGCACAGCCCAAACTACTGGACACTGGAAATTTGGCATGCAGGTAGATGTTATGACGTAGGCATCCGCTAATAAAGTATTTTGAACAATTCTACCCGTAAGAGGATAAAATAGAGGAAGAAAGTTTGTATGAAACTTTGTCAATTTTAAACCGATCGGGCTGAAACTTTACATGCATAAAGCTACTATGACGTAGGCATCCCCTAAGATAGGATTTTGATAAATTCATTTCAATGAAATGAAACTTTATATCAGGTATTTTACACGATATGATTAATAAATATTCGTTAGAAATGTAACTTTACCACGCAGACAAAGTCGCAGGCAAAAGTTAGTACTTATATATAATTCTAGCGTTACTGACTGTCTGACTGCCTGATTGACAGGCGTACAGCGAAAGAACTCGGCGTAGAAAGTTTAAATTTAGAGAGAAGATTCCTTAGGGAGTGTAGAGGAGCACTAAGAGAGGGTTTTTAAAAATTCCACCCCGAAGGGGCTTAATTAGGGGATGAATGTTTGTATGAAATTTAGTTATTACAAGTGCTAGGCGTTTCAAATTTTGCATGCGGGCTCTTTTTAAGACGTAGTGCACACTAAGGGGGATAAATTAGGGAATTATTCATTTCTGGACTTTAAAATGGACACAAATAAAGAATTTACTTACTTGTTACTCGGAGGGCGATGGAGAACGTTATGCTCGGAGTCTCTCAGAGAAATCGAATCAATAATAAGGAGATTCGCAAACGAACCGAATAGCCTGAAGAATTAGGAACCTCAAATGGCAATGGGCAAGGTACATAGATCAAGACAGTTGGTCATTAGGGCAATAAAGACCTCGTGGTGACCACGGGCCGGAAAACGGAGGGTAAGCCTCACCGATCACCGATCGTTGTATGTATTTTCGGAGGACACCTTGATAAAATGATAAACAGCTCTAGAGCTAAAATGTTTTTTTTTACTGTAGTACCTTTTTTTTACCCTACCGCCTAGCAAGCCTCGAGGTTATGTGGGACAACCCTCGGTTAGTCATCATGATTACAAACCCTTTACTTTGGCAAGCCTATGGAGTAAATATATTGTCTTTGATTTCATTGGCATCGAATTTTATCAAAATGTATTGATTCAACCAGAATTATTGACAATATGCTTTTCTGTATTGTCTCCAGCCTCTGGGTTATGATAACTTCGTGTTTAGGATACAGCCTGGGGGCAGACAAACAGCAGTCTTCATAATAAGGTTCACGTTTTACTTTCAAAGAGTAAAACGTGAACCTGAACCGTGAATATTGGGTTCTGAGCATTATTTGATATTGTCTTTAGAAACTTATTTTTTTAGATTACTCTATAGAAACTTTTACCTTGTATATTGAAGATCCACCTATGACCCATGTCGACTCTATGTCTTCTCTATTCTCAATGTATTGAATAGCCTCTTGGAGACTTCCCACTACTACGACTCCTTCAGGAACCTAAAACGGTCATTAGTTACAAAAAAAAAATGTCATTCTATTTGTTATATATGTGTATTAGTAGGTAAGTGTAGTTTTAATACTTGTATCAATTAACAAAACACTCAAAGGCCTATTATATTTCTACAAAACCTTAAACGAAATTTCGTCTATTTTCGAAATACTAACAAAACTCCAAAGAAATTTATCGATAATTTATGAACAGAGGTTCATAAATCATAGATGTCTGTATTGTTGTATGTATGTATGTTTGTCCACGGATATCTCGCTATATTTTTCTTTTTTTTTATAGATCAATTCACATACCTATATTATCAAAACTGTATTGAAATATTTTGTAATATATAACAAAACACCCTAACCTTATCATCAAAATATAGATGAAAAGTTGTTATTATGTAGGTATTTCAATTTTTTACAATGTTATTGTAGCATGTATTACAATGGGGCTAAATGGGTAAATTAATTCTTTATCAGCTATTGAGCACAATACAATGCTTAAAAAACAATTCTTATTTTGTCTCATAATACTATTAATAAAAAATAAGCCTAAAGCCCATTGTTACCCAAACTGCAATAAACTCTCTTGAGATATTCCAGTTTTTAGTGACACATTTTATTGTATTTGTTATCTTAATCTTATTATTACAAATGTTTGTAGTACACGCCGGTATATGACTATACATTGTGGGCTTTGTACTGACCTCACCCCATGTGGAACTTCCCTGCTAACAGAGGACTTCCTCAAGGTAGTGGTGTATAGCGTGACATGCCATGTGATGTACCATGTGTACTATTGTCAAACTTTAACCATAACATTTCTTTTTACATTCTAATCCTAATATCATTCCTCTACTAATAAAGTAAATGTGGAAGACTGTGGACTGTGGAAATATGGAAGAAAAATAGCTATTACAATAATCTGACTTGATCTCAAACCTTACTTTTTTTTGTATTTCATTAACTTGGTGTGTAAGAACAACATTAACTCTGCCACTTAGAGGCCTATACTTCGGTGGTATACAATCCCAAGTATTTCTTCCCATGATAACTGCATTTACTTTAGTAGGATCCTTAATTTGGGTTGTCATAGAAGTGAAATAGGCCATCTCTTTCCTGTAATATTAGGAATTAACAACTAAATCATTCATCAATGTTACCCACTAGGTGGAAGAATTTTTAAAATGATGGCTGCTGATGTAGAAATAAAAATCTGTAAATATATAGTTTTTACACATAAAACTGTAAGTCAAATTTAAAGGATCAAATAAGTTTAGATCCACAGTGGGCAATAGCCAGCCCGCCAGGGAAAGTTTGAAAAACCTAATTTATAACAATATTTCATATCTGATATCTATCGCAAAAAATTATGAGCACTACAATACTACTTCAAAATGTAATACTTTTAAAAGCAGCACACAAACGTATTTGCAAACTAAAGTTTAGCCTACAACATGTCTAAGGTTGTCCATACATGATTTAGATAATAAATAATACCAATTACATTTTTTTCACAACAGACAAGTTTTTATCTTTCAGTACCACAAAGATTTTTTGAGCCTCAGCTAGAAAATTGACCAACCCAACCAATCTTAAAATTGGAAATTTTAAGATTATCCCCATAGTATGAATGTGAAGGGCAAGTGGTTAGTTTTAATTGGACGTAGTTAATCAAATCAGATCCATCCCACACAATGTCACTTTTGAGATATAGACGATTGAAGTTTAAGCTGTATTTGCATGTTGATGTAACATTTTTGTGTATTTTATTTTTATCTAATAGCATAGAAAACCATTTACATTATCTTATTATAATGTCATTTTAACAGAATTAACATTATTTATTAAAATATAAAGGTTAAAGTATGTTTGGATCCTTTTTGATATATTTAGGTTTTAATTACATTATTCTTACAAAACAAATCTCAAAAACGATACAAATTAAGAAATAATAGAATAATTAACTGAAATGCCAAAATTTAATCGTAAAAACTATTTATAAATAGTTCTTTATATTTATTGTTTTAATTTCTAATGTCAAATGTTTTATCACTATCTTAAATTACCTTCCTACACCTTTTAATAAAATTACCTTTTAACAAAAATGATTCAAGCATTTTGAACCTTTAATGTGATTTTTACTATATGGATCCAAGAAGCTAGAGTTGTTTTTATGGAACTAAAATACGAACATACCATTGAAAAAACATCAAATATTTAATTCTAATCAGAGCTTTTTTCTATATGAAAGTGTAGATCCTGATGTACATTTTGATATACTTAACTCGTTTTCGACCAATTTGTGGGTTGGATCCTTTTTGAATAACTATGTCAAATTATTTCTCAAAATATAATGCTTATGTTCACATCATAAAGTTTATTATCATATGTAGGTAATAAGTCGCATATTCCCTTATACATTATTGGGAATCCTTGCATGCAAATAACTTTTTAATTATTTTATAATGAATCAACAAATAAAACTCAATCTTTATTCAACACTTTTGTTATTGTTGACACATTTTGTTATTAAATGTTCTTTAAAAATTAATAGAAAAAGTTTACTTAGTTAATTAGTGTTGGTTGATTTGTTTGTACATACTTTAGTCGCCATGGTAAAGTTCCATTCACACCAATACCCATATTTTTACACGACGCAGCAATTAGATTTAGCTTACATTTTGACATTTTGTATGTATGTATGTATGTGTAAATTTTATCTTTATATTATAGTAAAAATTTCACTTTTTATCTTATGCTCAGACCAAATAGGTTATGTCATTGAACTTTTATAAACCCACAAGTTAGCTGTTGCTGTTGTCACTAACCACAAAGTTTACATAAATTATAATTTTACACTATTCTGTAGCAAACACTTTTCATAAAGTTTAAACATACAGTTACTTTTCGTAAACAAATTTTGCCAGAATAAATACAAATATTTTGGCGCCAGATTTTATTATTTTTGGTTAGGGATGCCAAAGAACTCTAAATATGTATTTCATTAGTATCGATAATCAATAACAAACTGATTATTCAATTAGGTTTACTTATCTCTGTAACTTACAGCAGTGGCATGCACAACATACACACAAATAAACAGTGCATACATTGATTAATTCTAACCAGAATAATTAAACATTAGCTTGATACGAGTATTCACAGATACTAGGGATCATGATTTGATCAAACTAGTAAAAGTGCCATCTATCAAAAATTGGCAAAATTACTATAACGTACCAGTAAGCGTAATATTTTCAACCGACCGCTACACTGGCGCCGCCGCCACTAGCGATGTTAAAAAATAATCGATATTTATTTTAATCGATTATTATTTTCGTATAATCGATTTTTTATAATCGATTTTCCAAGTTAAAATAATCGATTTTTAACAAATCGATTAAATAAATTGCGCGGTTAAATCGATTTTCATAAATAGCACCATCTATGCGCCAAATGAAAAAACTCGTAACATCGTAAGTCCAACATCGATGTTCGATATTTATCGAAAACTAAACATTTATGATTTTTTGCAATAATTCACAAAGTAATAAAATATAGTGAAATCTTTTGAAATTTATTAAGAAACAACAAATTATTACATATTCCAATATTTTTTATCAACTGACTGAAGGAAAAGTAATTTTGATAAATAAGAATCTTTTAATCTATTTCTTTGTTAATAAAGAGTAGAGTCAGCTTTTGTAAACATGTGTGTAAAATATGTATTTTATGATACGTATGCATAACATATACAGCAAGCGATTAAAACCACTCTCCAAATTTGAGTATGTTAATCTTTACGACAAATAATGAAATACGTGTTTTTTCTTTTTATGTCGTTTAGAACAAAAATGTTGAGTCATATCGTCACCAAGTTATTTTCAAAAAACCTACATTTGTGGACGCTCTCGCTGCCCAGTACATGCGCTTTACGCGCTACGTTACACTTACCCCTCCCTCCCTTGCCGCAATTCATTGATAGTAATAATAGCAGCTACCTAAAATGTTTTCGTTTTGTCATGCTTGGGGAAATGATAAATAAAGTTGAAACCTCTTCATACTTTTACGGGCTTAGGACCGTCAAATTGCATAAATCCTATTAGATACCTACTATTACAATAGCTATACTGTTTTTAATTTATAAAGTAAGTAGGTAAGTAAATATCGAGTTACCTAAAATTCTGTTTAGTTAAACCAATTCAAAGTAGGTACTTAACTCGCTATTCTTTTGCAATCAGGCATATTTAAAAAATCATCAACTTTATGTACATAATCAACTAATCAATTTACCTACCTACTTTAACTATTTACCTACGTATACTTTAATAATTGTTCAAAGTACATACCGTTCCTCTCCAAACAGAGTCTTGCACCTTTTCTGCACATTGTCTTTTAATTTTGCGAGCACTACCGTGTCATTTTTCTCTTGGTAAAATGCCGCTCTGATTTGCACTTTTAAGTCCTCGAGGCTTTGTGCTTCCTCAACATACACACGTCTTTTAATTTCGCCCCACAAATAAAAGTCACACTGTGCTTCTCATACAAAACTGTCGCTAAATGGGTGTTCGGCCCGGTTTCATAATACATACATAGTACCATCCCATCATTTAAAACGAGTAACTTAAAAATTAAACAAAATCGAGCATGAATAATCGCATAATTTTTTTTATCCTTTTTTTTATCACTAAGACAATTAAACTCAATAGTTTTATTGCTTGTATACGAAAAATATATTTTCGGCGTAATTTTTTTTTTCCCCATTTTCGTGTTTTTATCATTTTATTTTTTTATAAAACCATATGATAAGTCATTAAATAAATGGATTTAATAAATATACTAATTCAGTGTACTAAACTGTGTCATAATAAAACATTTTAATTTTACTTTATTTTCGAACTCAGTTATAAGGTATTTTAAGTTACGACGTTGCGTCGTTGCCTTAGAATGACGTCACAGTGAGTCAGAGGTGCGTCACCTGTGGCCGCCGCCAGTTTAAATATGCAGATGCATTATTTGTTTGTAGTCAGATTCGGTCTTGCATTTGCACACCACGTGTATCTTTTGCGTTCATCGTTATTTTTGTTATATCTTTGTTTTTATTATTAGTTTGTAGATTGTTAACCGTTGTTTTGTTTTGTTAATTGTTATAAATGAGTGAAGAAGTGAGAATGAGTGAGGCAAGGAAAAAGCAACCAAGGCGTCGAAAGAGAATCTTGGAACCTCAAGCAGGTTAGTATATTATTATTCAAATTTATTTATTTTCAAACAAATTTTAACAGCCGTTGAAAAAGAATAGTCTTAAAATACATATTTATCTTAGCAATGTTCTTAAATTCCTTACGATTATAGAATTTGTATATTATGCACAAGTCGTCGTTGCTTGAATCCTCAAAACAAAATATTTCTAGGTAACCAGAATTACCAGAATCGATATAAATAAAAAGTTGTGTACATATTATTAAAGGCGACCTAAATGTTCTTATCTAATATTGTAAGCCAAATTTTCGAAGTAGAAGCCTTTCTCAGCAAATTTGCCCTTTCTTTTCCCTGCGGCTGACCATTCCTATACGTGGTAGGTTTAATAATTATATTTTCGTTTCAGATCATCTTCGTCAATACCCCTTAATTCTCCGATAAAAAGAGAAAGCCAACAACTTGGCAATCGGCGAAAAACAATTGATCACAAACATCTATAAATATGTTAAAAATACTTGACCAGAAACTGAATACAAATCAAATCAGGCTATGGTAGCTAAGACAGCTGAAATTAGCGGAGTGAGTGTAAGATCCATTCATGGAATTTTACGGGAGTACAAAGACACTCACACATTTGAACCAAAAGGCACCACTTGATGATCAAATAATGATATAGACGTTCTTTTTATTACAAAATAATATTTTGAAATAATGACAATGCATGAAATATTTTTGTTTTTCTATTATTATAGTAATATTCGACATGATCCGTGGTCTTTCGAAACAACTGATGTAAAACGCACAACGCACTGTAAAGTCGCAAACTATAAATATATGAAATAGCATCTTTTATGTAGCTATGTAATGTAAATAAATGTGTACTATTTAAAAACTGTTTCGTATTTCATTGCCCCTATTCCACATATCCCTTTGGGCTAAAAACTCAGAAAAAAATGAGATCAGTAATATTGTATTCCCCATAAGTTTCATGAACTTGCATATTTTATATGGTTAACTTGCGTCATCGGCATTTATAAACTACTACATGAAAATTTTGCTACTCGGTGCATTGGAGATCTCTTGCCTGCATTTATTCGACATTTAGATATAGCAAACAGTTGGTGTTTACGCAGAGATCTCGTTTGCGCCCGCCTTGGTACTAAATAATTAATTTTATTTACTAATTCAGTACAGTCATACTCGCTGTGACACATGTTAAATAAGACAACGGCTTCCAAGTATTGCCGTCTAGACTTTAAATCTGTCAATTGGTACCGTTCTAATAATTCTCCATATGACACACGGGCACGTCTGCACCTATAATACATGGTTTTCATAAACTTTCTCTGTACCCTCTCGAGATCATCCACATATTTATTATAATACGGATTCCAAATACTCACTCCGTATTCTAGCTGAGATCTTACTAAAGATTTAAATAGATGTAAATAAGTAGATGCTTTTTTAAATTGATAACAAGATCGCATAACAAATCCATACATTTTGAATGCTTTGGTTATAATAGTGTCAATGTGTATGTCAAAATTTAATCTACTATCGAATGTCACACCAAGGTCCCTAACAATGGTCACCTTTTCCAAAGTACTTCCACATAAAGTATATGTAAAGTTACTTATATTTTTTTTTTAGTAAAAGAGATAGATTTACATTTATTCAAGTTAAGACTCAATTTATTACGATTGCAGTAATAGGTAAATCTATCTAAATCCCTTTGTAACTTAACGTGATCATCGTGGTTGCGAATAGCGTGATATATCTTTAAGTCGTCAGCATATAATAAGAATTTAGAAAATTTAAAACACTCGGTGATATCGTTTATAAATAATATAAAAAGAAGGGGTCCTAAAATCGAGCCTTGAGGGACGCCAGAACTAATTAAATTTGCGTTAGATTCGCAACCACCGACGACAACTTTCTGTGTACGATTTGAGATGTATGACTTGAACCATCTCCATAAATTGCCACGTATGCCATTGTATGCTATTTTCTCCAAAAGTTTTTTATGGTCAACCCTGTCGAATGCCTTTCGAAAGTCCGTGTATACGCTGTCGGTTTGTACGTTACTGTCTATATTTTCAAATAACGTTGATGTGTATAACAATAAATTGGTAGTGGTTGATCGTTGTCGCACAAAACCGTGTTGCTCTTCAATGATACATCTATGGAGACATGGGTAAATGGCATCATGTACGAGTCTCTCGAAAAGCTTCGACAGGGTGGGCAGAATAGATATAGGGCGATAGTTTTCCACGTCTCTTTTGTCTCCAGATTTGTGTATGGGCACAATTCTCGCAGTTTTCCAGACATTTGGGAAATAACCTGTTTGCAGACATTTAGTAAACAAGTAACATACAGGTACATGGATTGACTCTGCAGTACATCTAAGAAATATCGGGGGGATGTTATCTAATCCAGAACCCTTGGTTATGTCTAAGGCTTTTAATGCCTTTATTGTACTTTCAGTATCAATTAAAACATCACTAATAATAAATTCAGAATTAGGGTTCATGTGTATGTCACAATCAGTTATATTAAAATCATTAGATATAGAGGAAGGTTCAAACATTGACTTAAAAAAGTTTGAGAACAATTCACTTGCTCGTACCGGGTCATTGGCCATTTCATTCCCATAATATATATTTGAGGGAACTTCGCTGACATCCTTACGACTAGAGACGTATTTCCAGAAATATTTTATGTTTTTTTACTTAAAGTATAAAACATATAGAATGTGCAGACGTTGGGTTGTCTATTATTTACCTGGACGAACTACTGG